TGTACAACCAAAACAGTCTTAAACGCCTTGCATAAAAAATCTTGTGCCTTTCCAGAAGTGTCTTCTAGACTTTATTTTGGGACCATTGCCTCAACCACTGTCTCCCATCTGCTTTTCTAATATCACCAGTAAAGAAAAGACCTGTATGAGAAACCCCATCTCTACTAAAAATACAAAAATTAGCCAGGCATGGTGACCGGCAACTGTAATCTCAGCTACTGGGAGGCTGAGGAGCAGGAACAGTTGAGCCCAGGAGACGGAGGTTGCAGTAAGCCGAGATCATGACACTGCACTCCAACCTGGGTGACAGCATCTCCAGCAAAAAAAAAAAAAAAAGAAAAGAAAAACCTGTACACACAGGACACGGCACGGTCTGACCCTTACAGTGTTTTATTTTTCTCTAAATGCAGGTGAACGAAGCCACACAGACAAACAGTACGTATTCTGGGATCACCTCTATGCCGAGGAAAAATTCTAGTGTTGACACAGGGGTGACACTTTTCTTGCCTCATTTTTCTGGAGAGCCACTCTGGTTTGAACTTCCTGCCAGAAATGTGATTCAAGCACTTTTGTCTTAAAAAGTGAAGAACCCGGTCAAGAAATGTGACTATTGACTCTAGTGCCTGGAAGGCACAGTGTCATTTGGAGAAGAGTGCTGGGCATCAGGGTTAAAGTATGGAGGAATGAGTCAATGTAAGTGATTTTCAGAATATCTCTGCGAAGCAGTGCTTTTCCCCAGAAAAATATGTTCCCATGCAAAGCACAACACAAAGATTGATACCTGAAACCAAAATTTTCATCACCACTGCACTTTCCAAAAATCAACCTTATCCATTCCTCACCACAGCTGTAGTGAAGGTTAAGTTTAACATCCTTATCACCACATGGAGATGATGTAGAGATAAATTTTCAGGCTTTTGGTCTCCTAAATGGAAATGGCATAGATGAACTCAGGAATGGGTGGAAGGTTGATGCTGTGGGCTACTAGTCTGAAGACACGTGGCCCTGGTGTAACTTGTCACCCTGTCAGAGAATCTTTAGCATCTGTGTGTGTATGTGGAAGTGTGTTGGCTTCTACAAGATTCTGCCACTTCGTGTACCACAATAGAATGGTCTCAATGGTCAGCTGACCCAGAGTTTGAGTAGGTTCATTGTACAAATGGACTTTGGTGCGGTCGCAGTATGAAACATACAGAGAGAGTTGCCACATTTGGTCTTAAGTGATGGGGTATTCTCACCTCCTGTCAAAAGCAAGGAACATTCAGGACATTCTATTGCGCTTTAATGAGATCATCACCACAAACATTAGACATGTTCCAATCTCAGTACCACACACATACCCAAGACACAAGGGACCTAACAAAATTTCAAGGAGCCTGTTGCAAATATGGCACCCGTGCCCATCTCCGCTCCTGAATCTCTGCACAACTGGGTTAGAAAGGGTCAGCACTTCCGCCTGCTGCCCCCAGGAAGTGGGGGCTGTCCCAGTCCTGGGGCCAGTGTGAGCATGAGCAGCAGCGGACTCATGACACACACACATTGACAGGAAGAGCAGAAGGACAAACATCACAGGCCAAGGAGGGTCATGTTTAAAATGGTAGGATAATTCAGTGTTTCATCTTGATTTAGCCTTCTTTAAAAACAAATGTTATTTAATGTACAGAAACATTTCCGCCAGAATTAAATTCTTCTTCTGAAATGTTCCTTTTATCTTGTTTAAAATGTTCTGCCGGGCATTTTGGGTGGCCAAAGCAGTTTAATCACTTGAGGTCAGGAGTTCAAGACCAGCCTGACCAACATGGAGAAACCTAGTCTCTACTAAAAATACAGAACTAGCTGCACATGGTGTAAGACATGCCTGTAATCCCAGCTACTCTGGAGGCTGAGGCAGGAGAGAATTCGGCTTGAACCTGAGGCTGATGTTGCAGTGAGCCGAGATCACACCATTACACTCCAGCCTGGGCAACAAGAGAAAAAGTCCGTCCCGAAAAAAAAAAAAATTTTTTTTCTAGAAGCGATGAAAAACACAGCAACAGGACATGTGGATCCTGCGAAGAAAATGATCTCAAGGGATCAAGAAGGAGGGAAAATTAGCTCAGGTCAGGGATTAGAAGGAGGAGCCTATAGGGAAACACTGTGTGGTGGGCCCTGTTTGAGATGGGTTAGTTCATGTGCAAGAGGTTGTTTTAGCTGAGACCAAGGCCCTGTCTTCTGTGGCCTTCCTGATGCCTTCCTTCACCATTTGCCTTCCTCACTACTACGGGAGGATGGACCGCAGAGGCTGAGCCTGTGCTGTGAACACACCTTTCCACACACGCTTTCAGCCCCGGGTCCACACCCCAAGACCACCTGAGTGGATTCAGTCATGGAGCCTATGCTGAGTAGTGACTCTGTTTCCCCAGGTGAAGAAGATCTGGAGTGGAGGATGTGCCAGAACAGACATCCTCAGAGTGAAGCCCAGGGGTTCATGTTTAAAGTCTTTTTCCTCTGGAAATGGGAAATTTTATTTCTCTCTGTTTCAATTGAATTAAGATGTATACATCTTACCATGTACATTATAGGTGACTTATTAAGAATTTCTTATGGGCAAAATGTCAAGAGTTCATTATCAACTAAAACATGGTTTCAGATGGCATCCGCATTTACACACTGTATGTCAGCAGGCATTTTTCTCAAGAGAAATGCCTTCTTCTTGAGAAGTATTTGGAATTGTCAAACAAAACATTGAAAATCTTGTAGAAAAATCTTGTGCCTTTTACAATGAACAGTTCCTAGATATTGGGACATTGTCTCAACCACTATTTTCCATCGGTTTTTTTAGTGTCAAGAAAAGACCTATGCATGCAAGAGACAGCACGGTCTGACCTCATGTAGTGTTTTCTTTTTTCTCTAGATGCAGGTGGACCAGCCACACTGGGCAAAGGTAATATTCTGGGGTCATCTCTTTGTTAAGGCTTGAAATCTTAGTGTTGCAAAGGTGGCGCTGTTTGCCCTAGGGTGTGAGTGGCAGGACGAGCACTTGCCTTCCTAGGAGGATGGAGGGTGACCTGCGACATGAGGTGGGGAGAGACAAATGACTGTGGACAGCAGAGGCTCCAGGATGTCCCCATTGAACCTACCGTGGAAAAGGTTGGCTGGCTGCCTGTTTCTGAAGGCTTTTGCAAAACAAGTGAATGCATTTGGTTTCGGGTCAATAGGAATAGAACCTGAACCAAGCACAGCCTGCATTTTTCTGGGAGTATGCATTTGGTGGAAACTTATGTGTATATATTGAATTTAATTGCTGTGTAGGTGTCAATACTTTACTCCTACATTTTAAAACAATCAGGCTGGTGTGATTTTAAAATGTCCTCGCTAACCTCAGAAACTTATCTCTTCATAACCAATCTCCTAGTCATGTTTAATCTCTAGAATACAGTTTCTGTGTGGTACTCGGGGCTTCCTTGCTGAGTGGACAGAAGGTAAACTGAAAGACTAACATTGAGGCCTCTAGAATTAGCCAGAAGTCACACTGGGTTTATGAGGAGAGAGCAGGCTATAGCCTTGGCCTGGGCCTGCAGAGGAACATGATTTGAGGAGCAGAAGGCAGGTGGCGAGGGCAGCAAGCCATGCGACGCCGAGGTGTGCAACATCAGGAGAGTCAGTTCCACATCATCACCTGGGCGTGGGCGGAATGTTCACGCCGTCTGAAGAGTATGCTGAGCTCCAACTTCATGGCTGGCCTGAACATTGGCCGCCTTCCTAAGAGCCTGGTCATAGGAGCTCCTTCCCTTGTTTCTCTGGTCTTCCATCTTCCTGTGTGTTGATGGCAATGGCACCACCAGAGATTAGTGAGAGACAGAGAACAGGAGTGAGTTCCTGAAATATTCAGCTTAGCCCAGAGAGAACATGATCAGCAGGGACGGATTGAGGGTCAGTCCAGACACGGAGTAGTTTCCATGCTTGATCTCCCTGTGGCTGGGACAAAGAACAGCTTCTGGGAGTCTCTGGACAGCTGATCCTTGTGTAGCTATTATTGGCCAACAGTGGCCTGGCCCAGAGTCTGCTTTACTGGAGGGAAGCCTCAGCTCCCAGGTAGGCTGAGCAGCTGCCCTGTGCTGGTGTCAGAGGAGGTGAGGAGACCTGCTCTGAGGCAGGCTGAGCCTCCAAGAAAGGAGAGGGGCCCTGGTGTTAGGTGGTCCTTGCACCTTCATGTGTGACCTATAAGACGTGAATTTCTGTAGATCTCTGAGACAGCCTTTCAATCATCAGTGCAAAAGTCTGTTGTCTCTACTCATAGGTGGAGGAATCCTGGCCATGTGTGTCACTGAGGGCAGGACTTGTGTCCTCCTCATTCCTTCTCATCTCAGAGCTCAGTCCTGGGCAGCCCATCTTGGGCCCCAGTGATGTTCCAATGCCTGCATTCCTGTTCTGAAATCTAGCACAAGTGTGGCAAGGCTTTCTGCTCTTTTTCTGTAGTCTTCTGAGTTCCCACGCCACTCCAGGGGCCTGGGCGTGGGTTCTAATCAGGTCAGGAGAAAGAGGTGTGCTCCTCAAACAGTGAGGTTTTCTCTTCTCTGCTCCTGCGGTTCTGCTCGTGTCTTCTGAAGTGGGCACGGAATGATTACAACGATAAATTTTGTATATGTTTTGCCACAATAATGTCTGAAGTTCAATAAAAGATGTGAAAGTAAAGGAGAAGCATATGTAGACCCAGGAAAGACAAATGACATTGTCACATTTCAACAGGAAAGTGGAAATTTCCTAAGGCCTCTAAATGCGTAGGAAGGAGACACTGCCACGGCATTGGCAGTAATGTCTGTGCTGCTAAGGCTCTGTCTTCCATGGCTTTCCTGATGGTCTCACTGACTTTCTTCATCACCAAGGAGGATGTTCTGGCAGAGTTCCGTTTTGCAGTTAACTCCCCTTGTCTACATGTGCCAGCCCCATGCTTTTAGCACTGAGTCTCTGGACGGGTTCCTTCAGTGCACCCAACGGCTGACAATGACTCCGTGCTTCTCAGAGCGTGACGAAGACTTGTTGTGTGAGCATCCGCTCAAGATACTATCTGAGATGTTACGAGGCTCTTTTGAGGTAAAGTCTGTTTTGTTTATCTGAGGTGGGAATTTTGTTTCTCTTGGTTTCCATATAAATTGAAGTAAGATATGATAATCTTTCCACGTATTGTATGGATGACTTACAGAATTTCTTTATGGGCAGCTGAAGATGAGACTGTATTACCCAGAAGAATGAATTCAAGATGACATTTGTAGGCAGACAGGTCTACCTAAAAACTCTATGGCAGTAAGCATTTTCCATGGAAGTTGCTTCTTCTTGAAAAAAAAAAAAATGGTGAACATAACCGGGCACAAAATCTTGTGTTCCTTTGCACGTGTCCTCTAGGCGCTATTTGGAGCCCTTGTGTTGACTGTTTTCACTATTTCCATTGGGTTTTCTAATGTCAACAAGTGCAGTAGAGACCTGTGCACACAGGACACGGTGGTCTGACTTTTGTAATGTTTTTCTTTTCTCTAATTGCAGAAGAGCTTTGACGTAGAGACAGAAGGTATGTAATCTGGGATAGCTTTTTTAAAAACGGTTTTTATTTTACTTGAAAGTCTGGGATGCGTGTGTAGAATGGCACGTTTTGTTACATAGGTATAAAATGTGTTGTGGTGGTTTGCTGCACCTATCAACACGCTGCCATCTAGGTTTACTGCTCAGCATGCATTACATATTTATACTAATGTTCTCCCGCCTTGCCCCCACGCTCCAGGAATTGCTTTTTTGCTAAGGAAATACCTTATTTTTCAGAACAATGGCACTTTTTACTCATGCATTGGGTGGAGAATTTCTGGAGCCTTAACAGAAATGAGGTTTTAGGCAGTTTAGCAAAAACAGTAAGACTTCTCGGTATAGAATTGTGACCATCTTTCTGTAGTCTCTGTGAAGTGGTGTCCTTCGTATATGAAAGAGGGTGGTGTGCATCAGGTTTGGGAGGTGTGGGAGGAGAGAGTCTGTGGCAGTGATTGTGTTCTTTGGGATTTTTGTGCATGATCAAAGCACAACACAAGGATTAATTAAAAAAATTTTTAAAACTGGTCTCCATCACCCTGCACACTTTACATAAATCAGCCCATTCATTCTCCGCCACAGTTGTCTGAAGTTAAGTTTAATATCCCCAGTCATCAGATACTGGTTGGGCAGATGACCTCAACGTCTGGCTTTCTCAGTAGAGGAGGGAAATGGGAAATCAGGAGCGGGTGGAAGGTTGATTCTATGGGCTGCTGTCCAGTGTGGATCTCACAGCCCTGGTATAACTCATCAGTCTGGCAGACTTTTTGAGCACCTGGGTGTGCATGTGGACGCTTGATGGCGTATAGAATTCTCTAAGCACTGTCTGTCCTACAGGATGGTTCCAGTGGCTGCATAACCCGGGATTAGAGTTGGGATGTTTTACAGTGGACTTTGGTGTGGTCAGAAATGTGAAACACACACGGCGAGGTCACAGGCTTTTTCGCTTGGTGGTTGTGTTATTCCTCAGATCCTATTTAAAAGTTAAGAGAACAGGCTGGGTGTGGTGGCTCACGCCTGTAATCCCAGCACTTTGGGAAGCCGAGGCGGGTGAATCACTTGAGGTCAGGGGTTTGAGACCAGCCTGGCTAACACTGTCTCTACTAAAAACACAAAAATTAACTGAGTGTGGTGGCAGTTGCCAGTAATCCCAGCTACCCAGGAGGCTGAGGCAGGAGAATCACTTGTACCTGGGAGATGGGGTTATGCAGAGCCTAGATCATGCCACTGCACTCTAGCCTGGGCAACAGAGTGAAATTTTGTCTCAAGAAGAAAAAACGGAGGACATTCTCGTGGACACAGTCTATTCTATTTAATAACACGATTGCCACACAAGTGTCACATATGCCCTAATTCAGCCTACACAATCCAAGACTCAGTGCAGAATAGGCACTCAAGGAAGAACTAGGGTGTTATTCTGACGTCCATCTCCCCCGGTGGAATTTCCTGCATAGCTTTTGGGTTTGGAGAGTGTTAGCGTCCCCACCTCCTGCCCCCCATGATGGGTTGTCCTGGTGTTGGAGCCAACATGAGCATGAGCAGCAACTGATTTCACAGACACATACATTGTGTTGAAAAGGAAGAGCGGAAGGGCAATATAAGTGCGTACATCTTTCAATGATAGGATAGTTGAATATTTTAAAATCCTGGTTTAATTCTCTTTGAATCAAAGGTTCAGAGAAGTCATAACTTTTTTGACTAGAATTAAATTTTTTTGAAGAAAGGTGGCTTTTTATGCAGCACAAAAATGTTTCGGTTGGAGAATGATGATCAGCAGCACCCAGGATGCTGGGAAATGACCTCAGAAGGGATGATGAAGGGAGGGCAGTTAGCTCAGGGTCAGATTAGGAAGGAGGAACCTGACACGCTGTAGGGAGGGTCGCTTCTGCTCCCGTGTCCCAGTTCTTTGAGATCAGCTGTGTCTCATTGCTGAACTTGCCTTAGCTAGAGGACCAAGGCTCTGTTTCCCCATGGCTTTCCTCATGGTCTCCATTTGTCTGCCTTCACCACCATGAGGATGGGCCTACAGCTCCGTCTGTGGTAACCTCCACCTTTCTTCACATGCCAGCCTCCATGTCCACACCCACCCAATACAACCCGAGGAATTTTCTCAGCAGAATCCATGTGGTGCATATCATCTCTATGTCTCCTAGATCCTCAAGAGGACCTCGCAGCAAGAACATCCACGTGAGGGCACCCGCTGAGAGGGTCCTCTCTGTTATCAGCGTAAAGTTTTTCTCTTTTATCTGAAAGGGAAATTCATTTTCCTAGGTTTCTTCAATTTCACTTGAATAAAGATAAAGGAAAACTTTTATTACCATGTACATTATAGATGCCTTAGAGAATTTCTCTTGGTGGGAAATGTAAAATGAGAATTCTTTACCAACTAATAACTAATTCAAGATGGCATTCTTGGATGACAGCTTCAGTTACAAACTATGTCAGCAAGCATTTTCATCAGGAGGAAAACCTTCTTGAAAATACTGAATTTGGCCACCAAAATTAACTTTTAAAATCTTGCACAAAAACCTTGGTGACTTTGTACAAGTGTTTTCTGGCTTTATTTTTGTACGTTGCCCACCAGAATTTCCCCATCTGGGCTTTCTAATAGCACTACGTTAAGAAAAGACCTGTGTACAAGGACAGCACGATCTTACCCTCACAGTGTTTTCCTTTCTCTAAACTCAGGCGGAGGCATTCACAGAGACAAATGGTACGTATTCTGGGATCACCTATTTGGTAAGGAAAATCTTAATGTTAAGAAGGTATTTCACATTCTGCCTGGTTTTTCGGGAGAACCATTCTCGTTGGAGCTTTGTACTGGAAATGAGGTTAGGCAGAAATTACTGAGTGTACCAAGAGGGGGTGATCATCCTACGTGGTGCCTGTTAGCTGCAGTGTCGTTTTTATGACATCGAATGAGGTGCATCAGGGTGGGAGGTGTAAGGAGTCTGTGTAGAATGATTATGAGTTTCTTTGGGAGGATGTGCATTCCAGAAAGCATGTTTCCATGCAGAACTCTACAAGAGTGTGGTAAGTAAAAATCCCATTACTACTGCACACCGTGCGAATCAGCTTCCATTGGTCTCTCCACCACGGCTGTAGCTGAAGGGCAGTTGGAGATCCCCAGTACTCAGGTGGAGATAGTGCAGAGATGAATTTGCTAAGCTCTTTGTCTCCAGTGGAGGAGGCAGAGGTGCACTAGGAGTGGGGTGGAAGGTGATGCCATGGGCTACTACTCGGCAGTAATCACGTGGTTCTGGTATAATTTGTCATTATGGCAGAGAGCTTGAGCACCTAGGGTGTGCAGATGAAATCTGGATAGCCTCTGAAATCCCAAATACTGTCTCTACATAGGATTAAGTCTCAATGGTCACATAACTCAGTGTAGGGATGGGTACATTTTACAGTGGACTTTGGTGTGGTCACAAATGGGAAACAGACATTGAGAGGTCAGCTTTTTTATTGCAGTGCTGTGTTAATTTTCTCATCTCCTGGTGAAAAGCAGAAAATGATCAGACATATTATATTGTATTTAATGAGATAATCACCACAATCCTTACATGTGCTGCAGTTCAAGCACGCATTGCACTCCAAGACACCGCACCAAATAAGAACGGAAGGAACAACTTGAGTGTTACCCTGGTACTCATCTTCTCGCTGGAATCTTCTACAGAGCTGGGTTAGAGAGGGTCAGCGCCCCCACCTGCTGCCCCCCAGGGTGGGCTGTCCTAGGGCTGGAGCCAGTGTGAGCATGAGCAGCAGCAGGCTCCCACGGCACACACACACACTGTAAGTTAAAGGAAAGGTCAAGGATAAACATCACATGCCAAGTAGGAGCTCGGTCAGAATGGTAGGATAATTGAGTATTTTCAACTTCGGTTTGGTCTTCTTTAAAACAAAAGGTTAGTGAATATAGAGAATATTTTAGCTAGAATTGAGTCTTCTCTTTGAAGAAAGGTTGCTTTTTATCTAGTGCAATGAAATGTTCTGTCCGGCCACGGTGTCTGACACCTGTAGTCCCAGCATGGTGGGAGGCCGAGACGGGTGGGTCACCTGAGGTCAGGAGTTCGAAAACCAGAGTGACCCAACATGGAGAAAACCCGTCTCTACTAAAAATACAAAATTAGCCTGGCGTGGTGATGCATGTCTGTAATCCCAGCGACTCAGAAGGCTGAGGCTGGAGAATCGCTTGAACCTGGGAGGCTGAGGTTGTGGTGAGTTGAGATCGTGCCATTATACTTCAGCTCATAACAGCAAAACTCCATCTGAAAAAAAGGAAAAGGTTCTAGGAGGGACAAAACACACACTGCAGGACATGTGGATCCTGGGAGGAAATGACTTCGAGGATCGAGAAGGCAGGACAAGTTAGCTCAGGTCAGATTAGGAAGGAGGAGTCTCTGGATGCTGCAGGGAAACACTGTGTGGTGGGCCCTGTTTGAGATGGGTTAAATTCATGTGCAAGAGGCCTTAGCTGTGAGATCACAAGGCCCTGTCTTCTGTGGCCTTCCCTCATGCCTCTCTCACCACTTGCCTTCCTCACCATGGAGGATGGACCGCAGAGGCTGAGCCTGTGCTGTGAACACACCTTCCACACACGCCAGCTCCTGGGTCCACAACTCCAAGACCACCTGAGGGATTCAGTCAGTGGAGCTCATGTGCTTATATGACTCTGTTTCCAGGTAACCTGGAAGATCTGGAGGAGGATGCCAGAGCAGACATCCTCGAGGAAGTCACCTCAGGGGTTCACATGGTAAAGTCTTCTTTTATCCTCTGAAATGGAAATTTTATTTCTCTCGATTTCTCTCTTGTTTCAATGGAACTAAGATGTATACATCTTACCATGTACATTATAGGTGACGACAGAATTTCTTGGTGGGCAAATGTCAGAGTTCATTATCAACTAAAACATGGTTTCAGATGGCATCCGCATTTACACACTGTGTGTCAGCAGGCATTTTTCTCAAGAGAAATGCCTTCTTCTTGAGAAGTATTTGGAATTGTCAAACAAAAACATTGGAAAATCTTGTAGAAAAATCTTGTGCCTTTCCACGAATGTCTTCTAGATATCGCTTACTTTTCCCAACCACTGTTTACTATGTGTCTTTTTAATGTCAGCAAGTGAAGACCCAGCACCCAGGAGACAGCCTGGTCTGACCTCACAGTGTTTTCTTTTTTCTAGATGCGAAAGTGGACCTGCTTTCACACTGGCGAAGAGTACGACTGGGTCGTCTCTTTGTTGAGGTTTGAAACCTCAGTGTTGCGAAGGTGGCTCTGTTTCACCTGCATTTGTCATGTGGCCTCTCTTTGTTTGAGCTTCCTGTAGAAATGAGATTTGGGAAGTTCGAAGCTTAAAATACAAGAGTCAGGCTGGGCGCAATGGCTTATGCGGTAGTCCCAGCACTTTGAGAGGCCGAGACGGTAATCATCTGGATGTCGGGAGTTTGAGACCAGCCTCACTAACATTGAGAAACCCTGTCTCTGCTAAAAATTTAAAATTAGTCAAGGTGGTGGTGCATGCCCCTAATCCCAGCTACTCAGAGTCTGAGGCAGGAGAATCAATGGACGCAAGAGGAGGTTGCAATGAGCCAAGATTGTGACATTGAACTATCCGGCAACAAGAGTGAAACTTTCGTGTCAAAAACACAAAACAAAAAACCAAGAGTCCAGTAAATCACTCTAACCATGGTATCAGTCATCCCAGGAAGCACCCAGTGTCATATAAGGTGCGGCGCATCAGGCTTGAGGACAGAGGAGCTTGTGCCCATATGGAATGATTAGGATGTGTGGGAGCGTGGTGTGCATTTCCCCAGAAAACATACTCCCATGTTCACACAGCAATAACACAAGCATCAGTGTTCAAGGAAAATTCCATCACCACTGCACAGTTTACATAAATCAACCCATTCATCATCCACCACAGCTGTCCCTGAAGATAAATTTACCATTCCCCGCCCTCAGATGGGCATGGTGCAGAGACGAATTTCCCAAGCCTTTTGTTCTTTTTAAATGGAAGAGGCACATGTGACCTTGGAATGAGGTGGAAGGTTAATGCCATGGGCTACTACCCGGAATTTGTCACAAAGCCTCTGTATAATTTCTTGCTGGGTTAGTTGTTCCAGCACTTCTGTGTGCGTGTGGAGAATGAAAACTCCTTATTTGATCCCCCAAACACTGTCATGACTGGGTGGTGTCAGTGGTCAGTCACTGTGGTTGGTTTGAGCAGGTACATTGTACAGTGTATTTCAGTATGATCATTAACATAAAACAGAGTCCACAGGCTTTTGGTCTACAGCGAGGTCGCTCCTCAGCTCCTGCTGGTGCCAGACAGTGATGAGTGGCATATTCTATTGTATTTAATGAAATTGGTCACTGCACATCTTAGAAATTCAGCAGAACCCTAATCCGCATCGCATCCTATAAAATCTCAAGGATCAACCTGGGTGTTAGCTCACACCCATTTTCCCTGCTGGAATCTCCTGCATAGCTGGGCTGAGAGGGTCAGTGCCTCCGCCGTCTCCCTCGCTGCTCCCACGACAGGCTGTCCCGGTGCTGGAGTCAGTGTGAGCATGAGCAGCAGTGAACTACCGGGCACACACTTTTGCGTTAAAAGGAAGAGTGGAAGGACAAATCTCACAGGCTAGGTAGGGGTCATCTTTAAATGGTAGGATAATTGGGTATTTTCAAATCTTGGTTTAATTGCCTCATCACAAACAGTTAATGAAATCTTTTGGCTAGATTTAAATCTTTTTCAAGAAAGGTTGCTTCTTCTTCAGTACAAAATCTGGAAGTGGTGATATACAGAGCAGCAGCACATGCTGTCTGAGGAGGAAATGACTTTGGCAGGGATCAATAAGAGGGCACTTGAGCTCAGGTCAGATTAGGAAGGAGGAGCCCTAAGAGGCTGCCAGGGACACACAGCCTGCACTATGTGGTGTGCGCTGTTTGAGATTTGGCTATTTCACGTTTACGAGGTGGCCTGGAGCTAGAAAGCCAAAGGCCCTGATTCCCTCTCTTCCCTGCCTCTATCCTGTTCTGCTGTCCTCCTCCCCCACCCACCTCAAGCAATGTTACTGAATTTGTTCGTGAGCAACACCACCAAGGTGTTGACGGTCACTCTGTGTCCTCCTGTGTTCCGCCGACATCTGCAGGCGTGGGTCCAGTGACAGCGAAGACGAGAGGACCTAGAGGATGTGGAGGTCAGGCCGCCTGGATTTGTCTGGAGAAAACTGCTGCTTTCTTAGCTTTATTTTATTTGGATGAAATTAAGATACAAGAATGTGACAACATATATCTTAGATTAGTTACCCAATGTCCTTGGGATGAGCTTCTTCTTTCTTTAAGTGAGTCTGCCTCACTGAGGGTTGACTTAATACAGAGGGAGAAAGTGACAGCATCCACCACACATTGTGGGGCAGTGAGCTTGTGCCTTTACCAACTTTGTTCTCTTTTGAACAAAATCACTTACTGGCCAACCAACATGGACTTGAGAGGAAACGTCCTCTGAGAAAAATGTGTCTTTACTGTGATTCGATTTGCTCTGTTCTTTTGGGTTCCTTTGAACACTGGTTTCCATCTTGTTTTCTAATGTCACTAAGTGAAGAAAAGTCCCAGCACACAGGACACAGCAGGGTCTGATGCTCATAGCACCATTTTCCTGTCATTACAGAGATCCTCAGAGTTACAGAAAAGGGCACGTATTGCAGAAGCCTCCCATCCTGATGAGTCACCCAGATGACGGGGGCGAATGTGCCACGTCTCGGCTGGCCTTCCTTGTGGACAGGCAGCCTGGAGTGAGCCTCTCCTCGCGGATGAGGACTCAGGCTGTGATGGGAGGGAGGGATGGTTGTTGCAGATAGAGCATGATGGTCACATTCTGTCCCTGGAGCAACTGCATTCTCTGAGCATGGGGTGAGCTTGTGCGCATTGATTTGCTGCGTGTCTTTTTGAATTCACGGGTGAGGCCTACAAAATACATACGTCATATGTCACGAGAGGCCCAGCCTCTATCCCTCAGCCTAGTCTGGTTTCCGTGTTCTGTGCTCAGGAAACACAGCATCATGAAAAGGTAACCAAAGGGCTTGCCCTAGGGTGTGAGTGGCAGGACGAGCACTTGCCTTTCTAGGAGGATGGAGGGTGACTCATGTATTACGAGGTGGGGAGAGACAAATGACTGTGGACAGCAGAGCTCCAGGACGCCCCCATTGAACTCCACCGTGGGACAAAGGTTGCTGGCTGCCTGTTTCTGGAAGGCTTTGCAAAACAAGTGAATGCATTTGATTTCGGTCAATAGGAATAGAACCTGAACCAAGTACAGCCTGCGTTTTTTCTTGGGAGTATGCATTTGGTGGAAACTTATGTGTATATATTGAATTTAATTGCTGTGTAGGTGTCAATACTTACCCCACATTTTAAAACAACCAGGCTGGTGTGATTTTAAATGTCTCCTTGCTAACCTCAGAAACTTATCTCTTCATAACCGACCTCCTAGCTGTTTAATCTCTGTAATACAGTTTCTGTGTGGTACTCGGGGCTTCCTGCTGAGTGATTAAAGGTAGAAACTGACAGTGTTACCAACATTGAGGCCCTAGGAATTCACAGGCAGCTGCCCACTGGGCTCTATGAGGGAGAGAGCAGGCTATAGCCTTGGCCTGGGCCTGCAGAGGAACATGATTTGGAAGAGCAGAAGGAAGGCATGAGGGCAGCAAAGCCATGGGGGACGCCGAGGTGCAACATCAGGAGAGTCAGTTCCACATCATCACCTGGGCGTGGGCGGAATGTTCACGCCTCGTCTGAAGGAGGCGTTGAGCTCCAACTTCATGGCTGGCCTGAACATTGGCCGTCTTCCTAAGAGCCTGGTCATAGGAGCTCCTTCCTTGTTTCTGGTCTTCTCCATCTTCCTGTGTGTTGATGGCAATGGCACCACCAGAGATTAGTGAGAGACAGAGAACAGGAGTGAGTTCCTGAAATATTCAGCTTAGCCCAGAGAGAACATGATCAGCAGGGACGGATTGAGGGTCAGTCCAGACACGGAGTAGTTTCCATGCTTGATCTCCCTGTGGCTGGGACAAAGAACAGCTTCTGGGAGTCTCTGGACAGCTGATCCTTGTGTAGCTATTATTGGCCAACAGTGGCCTGGCCCAGAGTTCCGTTTTACTGGAGGGAAGCCTCAGCTCCCAGGCTGAGCAGCTGCCCCAGTGCTGGTGTCAGAGGAGGTGAGGAGACCCTGCTCTGAGGCAGGCTGAGCCCAAGAAAGGGAGAGGGGCTGCCCTGGCGTTAGGTGGTCCTTGCACCTTTCATGTGTGACCTATAAGACGTGAATTTCTCTGTATCTCTGAGACAGCCTTTCAATCATCAGTGCAAAAGTCTGTTGTCTCCTACTCATAGGTGGAGGAATCCTGGCCATGGCAGGTCACGGGAGGGCAGGGACTTGTGTCCTCCTCATTCCTTCTCATCTCAGAGCTCAGTCCTGGGCAGCCCATCTTGGGCCCCAGTGATGTTCCAATGCCTGCATTCCTGTTCTGAAATCTAGCACAAGTGTGGCAAGGCTTTCTGCTCTTTTTCTGTAGTCTCTGAGTTCCCACGCTTACCCAGGGGCCTGCGTGGGTTCTAATCCAGGGTCAGGGGAGAAGAGTGTGTGCTCCTCAAACAGTGAGGTTTTCTCTTCTCTGCTCCTGCGGTTCTGCTCGTGTCTTCTGAAGTGGGCACGGAATGATTACAACGATAAATTTTGTATATGTTTTGCCACAATAATGTCTGAAGTTCAATAAAAGCGATGGAAAGTAAAGGAGAAGCATATGTAGACCCAGGAAAGACAAATGACATTGTCACATTTCAACAGGAAAGTGGAAATTTCCCAGGCCTCTAAATGCGTAGGGGAAGGATGAGACACTGCCACGGCATTGGCAGTGCGTGTCTGTGCTGCTAAGGCTCTGTCTTCCATGGCTTTCCTGATGGTCTCACTGACCTTTCTTCATCACCAAGGAGGATGTTCTGGCAGGAGTTCCGTTTTTGCAGTTAACCCCCCTTGTCTACATGTGCCAGCCCCGTGTTTTTAGCACCCGAGTCTCCCTGACGGGTTCCT